TTTCCTGTTGGATCTCCAAGTTCTCAGTAAATGCTGCTTCTGATTAGCATCTGTGGCAGGGATCCTGATCCGATGAGGAGTCAGAACCCTGTGATCTGGACCTCGGCTCATTCAGAACCAGCCGCGTTTACCTGCAGAGTCCAGAACTTTTCTCTTTTACCTTTTGTTTCTGCTGTTTCTTATTCTGACCCTTTTTACTCTCGGTCACCGATCCTCAGGAACAAAATACATCAGAAAATAGGCCTACATATGTTACCATGGCAACAGCTGTCCATGCATCTGATGTTAGCGCTTTCCTTCCTGCTTGTTGTGATGTGGTTCAGGTCAAAGGTCACCCCCCCTTTATGACCCGGGAGCCGTTTGTTCCTTCAGTCCAGCTGAATAATATCTATCTATATCTTCAAAATAAAACCATGTTTTTATTCAAAATTATTGACTATTTTTAAACCTATCAGATAAGAATGCATTTTTTTACAATGTAACATTTGGGTTTAGAGACAATGCAGGATTTTTAAAGATCTTTAAGATTATCCATAGAAGATAATATTCCTCTCAGTGTCGTTCTGCATAAACAACCTTCTAAATCTAGAAGCGCCATCAGAACGACCATAATAGCAGAGCTGCGTTGGTTCTGGTCGGCGGGTCGCTGTGTTTCTCTGTTGGGACATTAAATCAGAACTCAGAAGTTCTGATTCTCAGTGACTCTGAGTGGGTTCAGACCGTTTAGTGTAAAAACTGCAGCTGGAAACGTTTGAAGTGGTTCCGCCTCATGATGCTGGTTTATCAGGCTGCCTCTGTTTTAAATTATTTTTATTTAAATCACAGAGCATCTCAATTTTTAGTCACAATGCATTTATCAAGAGCAATGCTACGTTCAGAGCGCACGCAGCAGGAGCTGCAGAAACGCTGCTTCATTTTTGATGCTGTACAACTTTAGTTCTGATGCGCAGCTGAAGCGTCTTTGCTGCTCTGGCTGCGTGATGGAAAAAGTGGGTCTGATGCTCGATGGGCGGAGCTACTTTATCTTTTCTTTGCCTGGAAGAATGGCAGCCATTTTTGCTGTGATCAGTGGGGAAATATTAGTTTGAATGCGTTTTTTAACTGATTCAATTCATCCAGATTACCATCCTGCCTTAGACTTTTAGACTTTAGATTTTAGACTTTATTTGTCCCCAAGGGGAAATTCTTTTCCACATACATAGAGCTCGTTTACACAAGACATAAAAAAAGACACCATAAAACAAACATATTCTGCTGGCAGGTTTTTACATTGTAAGTTAATTTAGGCTTTAATAAACCGTTTCAGAGCAGTGATCATGGCGCTCTGCATCAGCAGAGTTACATTTTTCCAACTCCAGCATCTGCTGCATCTGAAGCGCCTCAGATGCTCAGATTATTGACTCATTGAAGTCAACCATTGACTCCCTCCAGTCCTTTAGTTGGCGTCAATACGATTAAAGTGGGTATGCCGTCACACAGAGGGGAACAGAGAGTTCCAGGTAGCACCTAGATCTATGCATTAGTAGAAGGAAGAACTTTTTCATACTGTGAAAAAACAGGAACTGATTTTTCTTAGAGAAAAACAAAATCACAATATAGGTTGAAAATAATTGCAGTTTATATTTTTGGCATAATCATTCGACCCTAGTTCTGGTCATTGATATGCATCCCTGGATGAACATGAGGTGACCACAGTGGGACACATAGAGGCCATTGCTGTGCACTGGGTCCAGGCTGCTGCAGACGCAGCGTCAGAAGAACCATCAGGATAGGTTCCTGGGATGTTTGACGGGAATGGAGTTAAAATCTAACCTATGTGAGACGTTCACAGGTTTCTAAAACCGATCTGATTAAATAAACTCACTCAGTCATTTATTGGAGGTTTTATAAATGGTTCACAGAATGTGAATCCTGATATTCTAGCATTAAACTAATATGTTTGATGCTAGCTGTGCTGCACAGGCTAAGCTAGCCACTTGGCTTGACTTCACTAGTGTTCACGTTTTCAGCTTTTTTCCCCTTTCCTATCCTCTCCCTGGGAATCTGGGAGCTTCAGCTCCCGTCTCAAGCTGTTCAAACTGCGTTTGTTTATTTCAAAAACCAAGCAGGACCAGAACTGAGCCTTTGGTCCCGTCCAAACATGCTACCAGGATAGACGCGATGCCGTGGGTGTCCAGTCCATAAACACACTTTTATTAGCTGTTAGCTTAGAGATGTCTGCATCCATCCCAAGAAACAATGATCACATCTTTAAAGGAAAAG